CAGATGTTACCTACAAAAGCAACAGCTGCTTCCTGCTGGGGTAACGGTCCATGACATGGACTCCATGCTAGTTTATTAACTACAGTGGAAGTCCGAGATGTATGTTTTCTGGGTGCCGAGCCATGCTGAGCGCGAGCAGAATCGCAACGGTTATCTGTATTTAGCATGGAGAAAGCCGTCGTTGTGTCGTTGCCAACTATGGACCGCGGTTGGACGCCCCCTCATCCTCGTGCAAGGACCATAAATGCAGCTGTCACTGTTTACATCCCGATTGTGGAGTATCGGCCGGTCGGAAAGGGAAGGTTCGACAGTGTCAGTGAGCACGGAGGCGTGCAAGTGGTGCAAAGAACAGGAATGCGAGAGCGGCGACATGGAGTCAATACTGCGAGCAACAGCGCGAGCTTGCTGAATAAACCTTGTTTTGCCAACTGCTCGTCCTAACAGGAGCTGCGAGCCTGGAGCTAAACGATGAATGGTTGGGACGGATAGTATCTATCAAGCAATGCATGCCTTCACCGTACATCTTCTGTATCATCTTGACTCAAGATTCTTGAGGTCTGCTATTTCCGACGGCTCTTCGTGCTACCGGCCGAGACTTCGAAAACAGACCACCACCGATGAATGATGGTTGGGATAAAATCTGACAATGATAAAAGCGCTGATACTGGTGACTCCCTCAATATAGCAACCACCAGCAGCCACTGACGGTCGCAGCCACTGTGGAGTTTCTTGCACTTTCCTCGGAAGAATCATTGCTATTGACATCTTCTGCGGTGATTACTAGTCTAGCCAAGTAGCGCGGTATGTCCTTGAGGCCCTCAACGCTTAGCGATCTTGCGCTCTCGCGATTCCTCAACTTGAGGAATTGCGAGAGTGCAAGATTCTTGTGCTTACTCACTTGACAATGTGTTGAGATCTTTTTCTTTTTACTTCTGGATCTACGTATGAATGCCCCACTCCAATTACTTTCATTTCAGCTGGGCACTTCTCATCTGCCCATGGGAGGAGGTCTTTGCAGCACACGATAGCCGAGGCCCTCGGCCCGAGGGCGACTCGCCCTGGCCCACTTTGGCTCGCCCGACCGTTTCGGTCGTATTTCCGCTTTCAGTAGATTCGCTCTGCAGTTTGTTCACTTAACTATTGGTTGGTAAAATATCATGTCATCTGCTCAAGTCGTCAGTACCGCCGACGTAACGTCGCTTGATGATGATTGCCGAGTGAAGGAAGATGTTTGCCAGAAGTCCGACTCTACAGAGATTGTTAAGGAAGACTCCTCAGTCTCGGAATCTTTCTACAGCGACTCCTCAGTCGATGTAAGTGCGCTGTTCTGTGTGGCTTCTCTTCATGTTTCGATCGTCTTCAGGAGGAAATCAAAAGGAAGCCTCTGTGTGATCACTTCAAGCGTGGAAAGTGCCGACTAGAGAATTCATGCAGGTGGGAAGTTGTTGCTGGTAACATTGTCGAGCTCGTGTGCCTTCAGATTCGTGCATAGCTTGAAAGAGCACAACGATCCCAGTTTAATCACCAAACGACGTGCTGAGGCTAAAGCCCAGCATAAGTTACTGAAGTTGCGCAATAGAGAGGCTGAGAAGAGTGACACTCAGCTCACTTCTGCTGGAGACACCGATGTAGGTCCTTCCCATCAACTTGGCGTTTTGAACCCTCTGGTCTTTCAGAGTATCTCATCATGTTCACCTCCGCCAAGCCCTCGATACTGTTCATTCTCTCGCGATGGTGTGAGCCCTCAGTTGTCTCCATATGGTCTACACAAACGGGCCTCGACTGGTTCACTGCCTGCTGTGGCTGTTGTAAGGAGATCATCGTGGAGACGTTTCCTAACTGTTGTTGCTCAGTCTTATTCGAACTGCTACGCCCCATACCCGGTCTACTACAGTCCTGTCTGTTATCCTTTACCATGTTACGTCAACACTCCTGGTGCCTACTATGTTGTCCAGCAATCTCAGTGGGAGGCAGTACGATCAAAAATAATATGGCGAACGTGGTTCTACTGGTCTCGTTTCAGTCACCGTGTTATTCTGCTACTACTGAGTACTACGACCATCCGCAACAGCGAGATGTGGTTCCGCCAACTACCACCGGTGTGAGAAGGTCCGCCTCTTGCTCAATGGTGAGTCTCATAATGTGATGCGTCACCGTTTGATTGGCGCTGTTCAGGTTCAAACTCCGACTTTCCAGGGATCAAGCATGAACTCGGAGGAGCATTACGAGGAGTAGAGTTCCTATTTGTTGTCAGTTTTACCATGTATCCCCTCACTGTTTCATTAGTAGTTTGCGTGGTTTCACCGCAGCAGACATCGTGTTCATTATATCTTCTTTGTAGATTTTCGGCGACGCTGGCTCTTGCCGCATTCGCTTAGGTCTTCTCAGTCGTCATCACTGCTCAGTATGTGTCATTTGGCTATTTTGAACTGCTGGTGATGATTGTGTAGTTTTCTTTGTGCTCAAGCGAACACGTGATTCTACTATGTACGATCGGTTGGGTCGGTGCTTTCCTGGTGACGCCTCCTTGTGACTCTCTTGGTTTTTCGACGCTCTAACGGTCGTCCAACTAGACTCGATAATGACGTATTCATTTCTGGACATGTCACTGAGTAGCATCGATGATGCGTGGGTTGGCGTATGCTCACCCTCACAACGGTCTGCTTGGGACACCTTACAGGATCCATTCTGATCAAGCGCCCTATGATGCTGTCCGAAAGACTTTTCCCTCCTGTTCGTCAAGGACCTTTTTTGTGTACTACTCCTCTACCGTCTTGTCTACGTCTTTTATCTGTACGTATGCTGAGCGTAAAACTACTTGTCCGTGAGTCTCCATTCTCATTGTTATTTCTGTACTGTTCCCGTTAGGCCAACTCTTGTTATTCCTGGCCGTATACACGTATGAACAGCCAGATCGAGAAGTCACTAGTTAGTTTTGAGTTATCGTCAGATGGCTCGATTGTTGTGGGTTTTCCGCACGTGTCAATCTTTCCACTGTGTTTTTCGAGTATGTTACTTATTGGTAAGTTTCTCGCTCGGAGTTATCGACTGTTGAGTGGTCAATTCATGCCGACGAGTCATGGTAGAATGATTTTCGTTATCGATGCTTTCGTATTTCTCAGCTTCACGTTCACATTTTAAAGCTCTTATGGTAGTGAGGAATACCAATACGGTTGCCGCTCCGAATGGAACGGTTAAGAGGGTTCGCAAAGCGCCGGGAACCAACCCGTCAAAGATTTGCAAGGCCGAAGGTTGTTCACGCCAGGTAGGTGAGCTCCGTGTATCATCGTGTCGCTCAGCTGTTGGACAGGTTCGCGCTGCTGCCCGTTACTGCATCACACACGGTGGAGGCAATACCTGTGAGGTGAGACAGAGCAGCTGAGTATCTCTTCATTCCGTACGAGATGCTTCTTTGTTCAGTATCCTGATTGCAAAACGTCCGCTCGTCATGGGAGCACATTCTGTATTGCACATGGTGGTGGTCGAAGGTGTCAAAAGCCGGGTTGCGCCAAGAGCGCTGTCGGTTCCACCAACTTCTGCAAGGCCCACGGTGGAGGCAGACGATGCACTTATCCCAATTGTTTCCGTGCTGCGCGTCCTGGGCAACCGCAGGCGTGCATGAAACACGGAGGGGGTAAAAGATGTGCTCTTCCAAGTAAGTGGGATTTTTCTGTCATATACCGGAGAGCTGTTTTGTCTCAGCATGTGATCGAAGTGCTGCAGCTCGCAGTAACTTCTGCGCAGAACATCTCTTCATTGATGGTACTGATCCGGCTGAGAAGAAGAAACCCGGCGAGAAAGGAAAAGGCAAAGATGCAGAGAAGAAGAAGAAGCAAGAACATGCTATGGAAGACGATATAGCCTGCAGAGATTTGCTCCGAGGAAGAAGGGAGCCCACTTTCTTCGCTACCAACATAACTGTGCCGCCTCTGAACGTTTTCCTTGACGACTTTCGTAATTACGAAGATTTGGGACCTCCTGTCCTTTTCACGGTTGACCAGTCAGACATGATATATAACACGTTTGACGACGAGGAGGAGGAGGAGAAGAAGGAAGATCCTTTGAAGTAAGGGGTTGGGATAATCGTTTTATTGTTAAAAGCGCCTACATGCACCCATGCTTGCTAGTCTCGATAATAGTTCCTCTGCACTGCTATTCTTCATCAGGTCCACGATAGTAGACCCGTGGGGGGAAAAGATGGACCCTCTCTTCAAGTTCCTGATGAATGCTAAGCTATGAATAATTTAATGAATGCGATGACTTAGTCATCCTCGTGCGTGAGTACTGTTGTACTCCACCAATGCATGCTATCATGCTGTTGTGCGTGACGATGTGATGCGCGATGTGCTTCTTTTTATTGGTTTGTGTTGCAAGTATGCCGCGAGCACTTGCAAACAACCTGGTGTCTACAAAAGGAGCAAAAAGGTCGATAGTGGTTGTCTTGTCTATCGGAAACTTCGAGATGACTTGATACAACGACGCCATCACTGACTTATCAGTTCCTATTGGAACACATTTCTACTCTCATTTGAGAGAACACTGATGAACCTTGTACAATATGAGATGTAAAGAGATTATCGCCAAGAGCGAGTATTATTTATTATCGATGAAAAAGATGTTTATGCGGCATTCGGCCCATTCTCTACTGATGATC